CCTCCCACGTCCCCCCTGCATCACCAAGGCATCCAGGCCTCAGTGACAGCCACAAAGCCATCATAGTCAGGATTGCAAGGTCAAGAAAAGAGATTAAAGCTCAGCAGGCTTGCTGCCAGTGGTGGCGCACGCCTTTAATCCCAGCACTCAGGAGGCAGAGGCAGGCGGATCTCTGTGAGTTCGAGGCCAGCCTGGGCTACAGAGAGAGTTCCCGGACAGACACCAAAACTACACAGAGAAACCCTGTCTCCAGAAACAAAAACAAAAGCAAAGCTCAGCCTTGCTAACTATAACTCAAAATCCAAAGGCCATAAAAGAACACAGGATTTCTGCCCATATGAAAAGAAAGAAACAACTTTAAGAAAAATATAATTAACAAAATCAAAAGAGCAATGACAGTTAGGAAAACAATATCCAGAGTCTTTGAGGAGAATGTCATGAACCTATCTATTATCTACGTACTGCCTAAGAAAGAGAACTGGGGATGTGGGTCAGAGTGCTTGCTTACATGAGCAAGGCCCTGGGTTCCATCCCTGGCACCAATAAAATAATTATCACCATTACCATCATCATCATCACCACCACCAACAGGCAAAAGATCAGCAAACACACAGCTCAGGAAGAAAGGACTATCAAGGGTTCTAGATAGGTTCAAAGACATCCAGACCCTGAAAGCAAACTGCCTAGACTCAAACCCAAGCTTTGATTCTTACCAACTGTGTGACCTCGGGCCAATACTTCTCTGTACTTCACTTTTGTTATGTAAGAAAAAAAATTATACCAAGGCCTAGAGAGATGGCTCAGTGGTTAGGAACACTGGCTGCTCTTCCGAAGGACCTGGGTTCAAATCTCAGCACCCGCATGGCAGCTCATGACCATCTGTAACTTCGGTTGAGGGGGGCGCAATGCCTTCTTCTGACATGCACCAGTACCAGGCACACAAATGGTACATACACATACATGTGGACAAAAGCTGTCATATGCACAGAATAACAAATAAATCTAAATACAAATTTGAAATATTTTTTAAAAAGATACTAAAAGTACTCATCTGAGACAGTTGTCACAAAGTTTAAATGAGTTGTCAGCATGTTACCACAATGCCTGGGCACAGAGTATTGACTCAAAAACCGTCATTATGATATGTATCCATGTATTGTTACAACAGAAGCTGCATTAGAGGCCCATGGCCACACAAGTATAAAAACAACTGGCTTCTATGCTACGTTATTTAGTTGTTTCTTTTTAACGTGACATCGATGATCTAAGAGTTGTGACTGATATAGAAACTCCTTCCAGGAGTGGGCTGTTGTGGTGGTTTGAATAAGAATAGCCCCATAGGTTCATAGATTTGAATGTTTGGTCACCAGGGAATGGTACTATTTGAAAGGACTAGGAGGTGTGGCCTTGTTAGAAGAAATGTGTCACTGGGGTGAGCTTTGAGGTTCCAGAAGCCCAGGCCAACCAAGCCCAGAGTCTCTCTCTCTCTTCCTGCTGCCTTGGGATCCAGACGTAGAATTCTCAGCTACTGCTCCAGCCTGTGTACCGCCATGCTCCCCGCCATGCTGATAATGGACTAAGCCTCCGAACTGTAAGGCAGCCCAATTAAATGCTTTCTCTTATAAGAGTTGCCGTGGTCATGGTGTCTCTTCATAGCAATGGAACACTGACTAAGCAGCCATATACAGTGACAGATGCCAAAACACAGGTGCTTTAGATACAGAAATGGAGACCAGAAGCAAGATACGTAGAGAGGAAGACACCCGAACACACAATGCTGAATTGGAGACCCTTTCTGGTTGCTGCTGGCAAACCATGTCTGCTGAACTAGACAATCACATGTATCTCTTGGCCACCAAGTTCTTTGCCCCACACTGAAATTCACATGAGCCACAATTTCCAGAGGCAGACAGCACTGAGAAGGGAACATCAGAGAAAGCTTCATCCCACCACCTTGGTGCTTCCCACTGAGCATACTCCACACCCAACAGAAGACAGAGCTTCTCTCTTGGAGGGTCATCTTCCAGAACGTGGCCCCAAACAGGGGCAGGCTGATCACTTCATGAGGCCACCAAGTGCCCTAGACAGAAGAATATGAGAACTCCTGACAGCTAGGTGAACCTTAGAGTAATGAGCTATCTAGGCAGAGCCAACGGGGGTACTGCTCAGGTCAAAACTGCGTAAACATTGGTCCAAGGCAAACAGCTGTGATGAGCCTGTCCCCTTTGGTCTGCAAGGAAGTTTTCACTGGCTATTCTAATGGCCTGCCACCATAGCCTAGCAACTTACTGAGTATGCTGGAAGTGTCTACATTCACTCCATAGCAACAGGCTGCTGGGATGCATGCAGCTAAGTGATGCTACCAACTGTTCCTATGGCAACTTAGTTTTTGCTTTTTGAACACTGGAGACTGAATCCAGGACCTCATACATATGAAGTACACACTCTAAAACTGAGCTACACCCTGACTCAGTTTAGCTTTCACACTCATTCAACACAGACAGAAACTGAGGACCAAACGGTTAAAAAGCAGGCCCAAAGTCACCAAGACAGTGAGCTACAAGAAAAGGCAGAACTCTCTCAGCTCTTGACCACAGTAACTAGACACTGCTCTGAAATGGAGGGATGGGCGCTTCACTGAAGAAGTTCTTTATTCCACCTAACAGAGTAGCATTTTTGGAACCAGGAGAGGCAAAATACAATGTAACAATGTTTTCCTTAAACAGAATGCCTTTCTCTGGGGAACCATCCCTTCTCCAGCTCTATGGGATGAAACAGCAGCTAATCCGTCCTACAGGATGTGTCCATATGATCTGGGCAGAACTAAGCAGAGCTTTGTTTAGGAGTATACAACCCAATCGAGGTCTTTCTTCAGCCCTAGTAAGTAGGTAAATGACTACTATGTGACACTGGGGTGAAATCTGGATGCCAAGCTTAAAAGATGGGTGCTGAAGGTAGTCCGAGTGTAAACTGAACCGGCTCACTTACTCCACACTGCCTGCCTTTTATCATCTCCATTTCACGGATAAGGAAACAGGCATGGAAGGGTTAGGGTCACACAGCCAGTATGGGTAGAGCTAGGTGGAGTCCGAACTAGCCACACAGTGTGGCCACGGAGGCGGCAGCTTTAACCATTAATGAATGCTAAGCCACAAAAGAGGGACAGAGAGGAAGGCAAGAGAGTCCAAGAACTTGGTGACCCTGTGAACAGGGAAGGAAGACGATGTGCATACCGGGAGGAGGGCACTCACCATGCAGGCCTGAGCCAGGTTCATGGCCAGGCGGAACCGGGCAGACATGGCTGGTGGCAGCAAGTGACTGAGGCCAGAGCCCACATCAGGATTGATCACTCGAAGGCATCGGACCACAGCCTCTACAACCAGCTCCGTGGTGAAAGCTCGCAGAGTCTGCACTTCTGGGGGGACTGCCCTAAAGAGGAAGGCAGCAGGCTTAAGGAGGAGGAGGAGTTAGGAAAAAAAAAAACAGCCTTCTAGAGAAGGAAGCTCTAGAACCCGGGTGGGGGCAGGGAAGAACCTAGGCTTCAACAGACTCTGGGTGTTAGCAACCATGACTTCTACTTGGTCCTAAAACCTCCGTGAATACAAGTGACCCGAGTTCAGCAAAGTCTCAAACGCCCCTGCACCTCAAAGTTTCAAACCTCTGGGCTCTGCAAAGGTGAAAATGCTCCAAGTGGCATGTCTCCATATTTCTAGGAGAAATGCATGGCAAGGCCTCCTAGATCTACCAGGGTTTGAAAAAACTACACAGTAAGAGGCTGGGGTTTTCAGAAGTCTCAAATGCCAGGGTCCCTGACTAGAAACAAAAATCGGGCACCTTAAATTTTGGCATCCAGGACTTTTAGGGCCCTCAAACAGAGGATTCCTTGTGTGTCAATGGTTTTGTTGTTTTGCTTTGTTCTGTTTTTTTTTTCAAGACAGGGTTTCTCTGTGTAACAGCCCTGGCTGTCCTGGGACTCTCTCTGGAGACCAGGCTGGCCTCGAACTCACAGAGATCTGCCTGGCTCTGCCTCCCCAGTGCTAGGATTAAAGGCGTGCGCCAGCACTACCCGGTGTGTGTGTCAGTATTACCAACTGCTGCTGCAGCCAGAATTTAGGGCCCCGTTGTTTTGAAAAGCCCTGAGTGTTTCAAGAGCTAAAGTCTGAAGATCCTCAAGTATCCAGTTTCAGGGATTCTGGAGACTCTGAGTGCCAGTCCTGGGTTGTAAGCTTCCTGAATCTCAGAGTGCAGGTGTCCTACAGCCTCTAAATATCAGGGTCTCAGCGTATTAGTGTCCAGACCACACATTTCAGGTCTCAGTTCCTAAGGTTCCAGACTTGTAAGGTGTCTGAGTCCTTTGGGCTTACCAAATGTCCAGATCAAAGGGTCTGGGAGATCCATGATGTTAAGGTGTAGGGGGGCTTAGGATCCTGTAAGTTGGGGCCCTTGGGTGCCAAGATCTCGATTTTAAGGTTCCCGGGTAGTGGGGTCCAAGGTTTTGGAGTCCCGGATGTGAGCAATTGGGGGAGAGTGGGAGCTGCGTACTTACGTGCCCGCCTGGCGCAAGGAATGGATGAGGATTCGGTCGGCTTCTTCCATGGTGGAGTCAGTTCTAACTCTGGGGATGGGTCTAGGAGCAGATCAGTGAAAGTGGAGCAATGCTGTAGCAACTGCTCTCCCCGCGCCCAAGGAGGACAGAGCATCACGTGCCACGCAAGGAACATTGGGTAGTGTAGTTCTGAGAGTAATCGCTGTGCAGGCAGGATGCCTGGGGGCGTGGTATGTTGTATACACTCAGCTGAGCACGCAATGGCTGCTGGAAGCTGTAGTTCTTCCACCTGAAGTCCTGTGGACTCCTCCAAGGGAAAAACGAATTGTGCTAGCAGCTGAGGGACAGGACAGAGAAAAATTTCATTTAAGGAGGCGTTCATCTTCCAAGTTGCAAAAGCCTACAAGTATAGAAAATGACTGTTCCCCTCTGTCTTGCTTTTCTCATCTGTAAAATGAGAATCTTGATAATACCTATGTCCTAGGGTTAAGATATAATTACTACTACTGGGGAGGCGGCTCAGGGTAAGGGCTCCTGCTACCAAGCCTCACAAGCTGAATTTTGTCCCTGAGATCCACATGGTAGAAGGCGAGAAATGACTCAATAGAGTCTGAACTCCACATGTACACTGTGACACATGTATGCCTGCGTGCACACACACACAAACAATCAAATAATACATCTTAAATAAATAAGCAAACATAATTCCTGGACCAGTAAGATGGTTCATCTTGTACAGTCCCTTGCCACCAACGCTGATAAACTGAGTTAGATCCCTAGGACCCACAGGGCATATAAAGAGAATGGACGCCTACAAAGTGTCCTCTGACATCCACACATATGCAGCAGTACCACTGGCACACACACACACACACACACACACACACACACACACGATGAAAAAAGAAACAGAATTACTAAGCCGGGTGCAGTGGAAAACACCTGTAATCTCAGCACCCGGTTGGAGTGTAGATTGGGCTACACAGGGAGACTACCACAAAAGAAAAGAAGAGAGTGAGGGAAGAGAGAAAGAGCTGTCAGTTATGCTTAGTCATGCAATCAATAAACGGGCCATTTTAATATGCTATACATGCATGTTCAATCAAAAAATATTGACACAGCAAATATCTATATAACCATTACTTATTGAACAGCCTATTTTGTCTCCACTGCCCAGTAGTGCTAAAAACTGTCATAAATCACACACACATACACACACACATCACATACATGGCTCAGCTTCTGAACTATACTTTTTTTTATTGTTGTGCTGTTTTGTCTCGGTTTGGTTTGGTTTTAAGACAACCAAGTCTTGCAATGTAGCCCAGGATGGCCTCAAATTTGTAATGATAATACTCCTTTCTCCCAAGTTCCAGGATTAAAAGCTTGTGCCACCACCCATGGCTGTATTCTATTTTTAATTACTGTAGATTTATAATGAGCCTTGATATCAGATACGGCAAGTCTTCCCATCTTGTTTTTTTCCCCAAAAGGTTTTGGCTTTTCTTGGTCCTTTGGATCTCAAAGATATCAATTCCAAAGAAAAATATGCTGAGATTTTGTTTGGTATAGCCAATGCAAAATGCCAAACCAATCACTCTGGGAAAAACTTACATCATCACTAGATGTTATATATTTCTCCACTTTATATCCCTTTGATATTTACTATTTGACTCTTTTTTCATAGAGATAATGCACATGCTAGTTTTGTCCTAAGTACTTAAAATTTTGTTATTGGAAAATGACACCATTTTTTTCTTATTTTAGCTTTTGCCTGCTTAGTGCAGGTATCTATTTGGTGAACTCTTAACCAGTGCCGTTTCACTTGCCAGCCTCTGGCTTACAAATATCCCATTTGCTCCCTGTTCACCCTCCCAACTGACACTATTATTCCCCGCCCCCTGACCTTAATCCCTCTAAGGCTGGAGGAGGAGAGAGGGGACTGTGTGCAGATGGCCCTTACATCTCCAGAGGAGGATGTCGGAATCTGAAGGCAGGAAAGGTGAGAGCAGCCATCCACCCCTGAAGACCCTTGGAGTCACCCTGGGCTCTGGTCCACCCTCACCCTCTCACCTACCCACTGCCCACCTGGATCCTACTTCTGGAGAGTCTCTGGTTCCCCAGAGTATCATCACCCTCTTCCTGCCCTAGCCACCCCTTAATAGAGCTTCTTTGCCACCTGATCTCAGATGCACCACAACCCAGCTCATATGCTATCCCCAATAGCCCCCCAACCTTATTCATAGCCTTAGTTCCCAAATGAAACCCTGGCTCAATCCTGACCCTAGCACTCAGTCCAACTCAAACTCCAAATCCAGCCTCACTCTAAACCTTAATCTAAACCCTCCTAACCAGAAGACAATCCCCTACATGAGACATTAGAATCCAAACCTCACAATGGCTACAGACTTTATCATGAACTTGAAGGGCATCTAACCTCTAGACGCCAGTACTGCTACTGAATGATTTTCCCTGGCTGTCCAGAAATAGCACAGACCCCTTTTCAAATTTCTATTAATTTATTTTTATAAGTATATGTATGTTTGAGTTTATGTATGAATGTCATGTATGTTCAGTGCCAGGAGAGGTGAGAAAAGGATGTCAGATCCCCTGGAACTGGAGTTATAGGAGACTATGAGCTGCCATGTCGGTGCTGGGAACCAAACTCCCCTCCTCTGGAAGAGTGGAGTGTGCTTTTAACCACAGAGCCACCTCTCCAGGTTGAACAGACCCTTTTACAAATACAGAACGAATACAGAGAAAGAGCATACAGCTGATGTTGTTGATAGTCAGAAACCCTGGTTTGGCCACTTCAGCAAATTACTAACTCCTTTCAATTTCCTCATTTTCAAAATAGTAATAATACTACCTACTAGGCATTCTTATGACTAGTGAGCTCAATTACTCCTCACAACACCCTTATAACGCAGGCAACCATTATTGTCTTCCCCATTATACAGATAAGAAAATTGAGGCTCAAGAGTAATCCCATAATTTACTCAAGGCAATCCACAACTTCTAAATAGTAGTCAGAATTTGAAATCAGACAGCTTATTTTTTTCAAATCTGGGGATCTTAACCAGGCCAACCTACTACCCATCTCAGAAGCTGAAACAAAACCACAGAATCTTGATACTGAGGGATGAAACCCCAATGAAAAATGCAAAGTCTACTCAAAATTTATCCCTCACTTTAATCCCAATTCCAAGCTCAACTCATTCAAATACCCAGCTTCAACCCTAAATAAAAATCTCAACCAAACTCCATCCTTGCCTATATCAAGTAAGACTAAGCCCACTCTGACCCAAAATCCACCACTCAAATTTGACCTTTAGTTGACGTGCACTGCATGGCGATCATCCAGCCAAGCCCTGCCTTGCTTGAAAACACTCTTACCTCCATTCCTCAACAAAACTCACTCCACCCTAAACTTGATTCCAGCATTGATTCTTAACCCTCAACCCTTAACCCAAGCATCCTCCATTTCTCCATAGCTTTCCATGTTCTTCTTCCTTTAAACAGAGGGATGGGATTGGACAAGAAGTTGCCATAACTGTCCTATGCCATCCCTTCCCTGACTCTGTTTCTCCACAGACACCACTCCAGAGCCCAGTCCAGCCAATGGGACAGGCCCTGGTCCTGAATGGGGCCTGTGTCCTGGGCCTCCAGCCGTGGGGGCTGATACCAGTGGGGCATCAGGCCTAGGGACCCCAAAACGAAGGACCCAGCATAACAAACACAAGACTGTGGCAGTGGCCAGTGCCCAGCGATCACCTCGAGCACTCTTCTGCCTCACCTTAACCAATCCCCTTCGGCGGTCCTGCATCAGTATTGTCGAGTGGAAGTATCCTAGGAGACTCTGGGGTAAGGATTCCCAGGGTATGAAGAGTCAAGGATTAGGTCAGGCCTGGAATGGAGGAGGGCTGAGATTACCAGGGACCAAGGATCAAATATTGGGGGAAAAAGATTCCTGGGGTGGGACTGGATAGCTCAGTGGTAGAGCATTTATTTAGTGTATTAGATGCCCTGAGTTCAATCCAAAGCATTACGGGGGGGGGGGGGGGAGGTCAAGAACTAGAATAGAAAGGGAGTCCAGAGAGATGACAGCCACCAGGATCAAGCACTAAGCTAGCCATACCTGCATATACCTATAACCCCATAACTCTGGAAGCTGAGGCAGGAGAACTGAAAATTCAAAGACAGCCTGGGCTACATAGCATGATCCTGTCTAGAGTCAGGACTGGGTGGAGAGGGCACCAAGGGAATGTGGGGGTTTCAACGTCACTCTTCCTGAGTCCTTGACTGTGTTCACCTGAGACCTTTTGATATTCTCATCCTCCTGACCATCTTTGCCAATTGCGTGGCCCTGGGAGTATACATCCCCTTCCCTGAGGACGACTCCAACACTGCTAACCACAACTTGGTGAGGCCTACCCCATCCCCAGCCAGACTGCAGTCCCTTAGAGCCACAGCTTAAGCCACCCAGCCAGGCCCCACCCCTCCCGGACCTACCTTACTCCACTCGGTTCTGGCAAAAATAACCTTAACCTGTGCCCACACCCACCCGGTCTGACCCTGCCCCAAATGAGTCCAGGTCTTCACGCCCCGCCCCCGGCTCCGCCCTCAGGAACAGGTAGAATACGTGTTCCTGGTGATTTTCACCGTGGAAACAGTGCTCAAGATCGTGGCCTATGGGCTGGTGCTCCATCCCAGCGCCTACATTCGCAATGGTTGGAATCTACTCGACTTCATCATCGTCGTGGTCGGGTGCGCATTTGCAGGGGGAGGGGCACCCCACCCTAGTTTGCAATCCACTGAATTCTGGGGCTCAGGGAAGCGACTGACTCAGACAGCCCCTATTCTGCAGCTGAAATCACGAATATTAACATATATAAAACCATTTGCGTTTCCAGTTACAGAGACTTGTGCTTTCTGAACAGAAAGGAGGGAAGGGGCGGGAGCCAATGGTCTCACTCTCCCCTCCCCGTCCCATGCTCCCCAATCAGGCTGTTTAGCGTGCTCCTGGAGCAAGGACCCGGGCGGCCAGGCGATGCCCCGCATACTGGAGGAAAGCCGGGAGGTTTCGATGTGAAGGCACTGCGGGCATTTAGGGTGCTACGGCCACTGAGGCTGGTGTCTGGGGTCCCAAGTAAGTGCATACGCCCCCGACCCCCGAGTTGGAGGTGGGGCTCCAGGCCCAGAGCAAATGCGCTGAGCCCGCCCATCCCCGCCACAGGCCTGCACATTGTGCTCAATTCCATCATGAAGGCGCTTGTGCCGCTGCTGCACATTGCCCTGCTGGTGCTCTTCGTCATTATCATTTACGCCATCATCGGACTCGAGCTGTTCCTCGGACGCATGCACAAGACGTGCTACTTCCTGGGATCTGGTCAGCCACCCCCTTTTCACAGGACAGGACACGCCCCCTGCCCTCACTTCTGGGGCCCCCTCTTGCTTCTAGAAAGCCCACTCGGTTTTGCAAGACTCGGTCTCTAGGCTCAGGTTCTACCTCTGTATAGTCAATCCCCACCCCTATATTCAAGACTCCGCCCTAAATACCAGAATACAACTCTTCCGTCAATAATGGCTGTGCAGGTATCCCAAGACTCCACCCACAGGACCAGTCTGCCTAGCTGCATTTCAGACTTCAAACTCCACGACTCGCCTTTATAGGCACTTATGGAGACCCCTTTTCTCTGCCCTCTTTTCGAGACCCTCATACTCACAAGATTCACTGTTATTTAAGATTCTATACAGGATTTACACTTCACAATTCCCGGATCCATATTGGAAGGACTCAGCTTCCCAGTGGTTCAAGTTAATACCTCCAGGGGTTTGGCCCTAGCAGAGGAAACAAGAATTACTTTTGCTTTTAAAATATCTGGGGCACTAAAACAAACTTCCTATGAGGAGGAGGCTGCAGAGTGGCAAGGAACTAGTGTGTGACTTTCCTTCATAGCCCCGGGCTTCAATTTTTCTGTAGATGTGGAGGCAGAGGAGGACCCATCGCCTTGTGCGTCTTCTGGCTCTGGGCGTTCATGCACGCTGAACCAGACTGAGTGCCGCGGGCGCTGGCCAGGGCCCAACGGTGGCATCACGAACTTTGACAATTTTTTCTTTGCCATGCTAACTGTGTTCCAGTGTATTACTATGGAAGGCTGGACAGACGTCCTCTACTGGGTGAGGTGAACAAGCCCTCACACAGCGTGGGGGCTGCACCTGCCCTTCTTTCCCAGCTCGGGTTGTCCTGTCTGCATGCTATGAGGGAAATATGCTCTCTCTCCAGATGCAGGATGCCATGGGGTATGAGCTACCCTGGGTGTATTTTGTGAGCCTCGTCATCTTTGGCTCCTTCTTTGTCCTCAACCTTGTGCTTGGCGTCCTAAGTGGGTGAGAAGCCCGGATATTCTCCCCTACAATCCTCTCCCACCCTTTTGTGCTGCCAAATTCTTTTAAAAATCAGGAAAGACCTCTTGAGAAGGTGTTGATAGTATTCTTTTTTTTTCCTTTTTTATTAAGAAATTTTCTATTCACTTTACATACCAACCACAGACTCCCCTCTCTTCCCTCTTCCCACCCCCAGCCTTCCCCCCAACCCACCCCCCATCCCCACATTTTCCAAATCAAGGTCTCCCATGGGGAGTCAGCAGAGCCTGGCACACTCAGCTGAGGCAGGTCCAAGCCCCTCCCCTCTGCACCAAGGCTGTGCAAGGTGTCACATCCTAGGCACTGGGCTCCAAAAAGCCCACCCATGCACCAGGGATGGATCCCGATTCCCCTGCCTGGGGGCCTCCCAAACAGTCTAAGCCATAGGAACAGCCAATGCAAATGCTTGGAGGCTAGAATGCCCTTGGCATATCCAAAGAACAATTAGAAAGTCATTGTGGCTGGGGTGGTAAAGATAAGGTGACTGGGGTGACTGCCCTATGGAGTCTTCTCCCCTCCTCCTCCAGGGAGTTCTCCAAGGAAAGAGAAAAGGCAAAAGCACGAGGTGACTTTCAGAAGCTTCGAGAGAAGCAGCAGATGGAAGAGGACCTTCGGGGCTACCTGGACTGGATCACCCAGGCTGAGGAGTTAGACCTCCACGACCCTTCGATAGATGGCAACTTGGCTTCTCTTGCTGAAGAGGGACGGGCCAGCCATCGTAGGCAATTCACATCTAAGCTAGCTTCATTCCCACCCCAGATGTGATTTGCCCTCCTGAGACTCAGACCAAGCCTGCAGCCACCCTAGCTTTGCCCCAGATCTGGGTCAGGACACAGAATCTCAACCCAGACTCAGACACAGACTCCAACTAGCCCCTTCTCCCCTAGATTTGACCCTAATTCTGCCTCTGGGCCATCCTTCCCAGTTGGCTCTATCCCCACAGGACCACAGCTGTCAGAGCTGACCAATAGGAGGCGTGGACGACTACGATGGTTCAGTCACTCTACTAGATCTACACACTCCACCAGCAGCCATGGTGAGAACCAACCCGAGAAGGGACAGGGTAGAGCTGGGGTAGTAGACAAAGGGAAAAACCAAACGTGGGACCTAGGGTCTTGGGTCCTAACCTCTATCCTCACTTTGCCCACAGCCAGCCTCCCAGCCAGTGACACTGGCTCCATGACAGACACCCCAGGAGATGAGGATGAAGAAGAGGGGTCTCTGGCTAGCTGTACACGCTGCCTGTAAGGGATCTCAGCCCTTGAACCCTAAGTAGCCCAAACCCCCATTCTTATTTTAGCTTCAAATCTTGACCTCAGTCCTGACCTCTAGTCTGGATGCTGATTCCCTCAGCCCCTTATGACACCCCATCCCTTTCCAATCATTTCTAGAAACAAGATCATGAAAACCAAGGTCTGGTAAGTTGTGAAAGTTGTGCAGCCTTTTGACCCCATGACTTTGAGACCGGTCCACCTCCAAGGACCATGTGACTTCTGGGCTCCCCGACCTGAACCCCTGGGCTGACCTAGGCCATCTCAGTGACGTGATGGGCTCTCCTCTGCCCAGCCGCCACTTCCGCAGAGCCAACAGGGGTCTCCGTGCACGCTGCCGCCGGGCTGTCAAGTCCAACGCCTGCTATTGGGCTGTACTGCTGCTCGTCTTCCTCAACACGTTGACCATCGCTTCGGAACACCATGGACAGCCTGTGTGGCTCACCCAGACCCAGGGTGTGCCTCCGCTTGCCAGCTCTCTTCTTCATCCCTTGCTTCCTCCACCCACGAAGTTCAAATGCAGGCTCTCTAGGGAGTCTTAGACCCCAGATATTATCTTCCAATCCGTATGAGTGCAGAAACATTAACCTGCCCTATCCCACCCTGCAAACCACACTTATGTGGTACTTACTGCGTGCATCAGTCTCTAGTATTTCACATGTCCAAACTCAAACTGTATTCTGCCAGAATCTTAGTACCTAAGTACTAAGGCCAGCCAAAGGTCCTGATCACCACAGCACTGATGTTAAGCAACTAACCCCAGGACTCAGCTCCCGAGGGGCAGAGCAGGAATCCTAATCCAGGCTCTTAACATCATGCTATCTGGACAAGTTAACCCCTCTGTGCCTCAGTTTCCCCATGCACAAAATGGAGATAATGCTAGCTATCCATGGCCTGGAGTGGTTGGGAGGATTAAATGAGATCAGCTTAGAATATTGTTTGGCCCACATCGTGTCACCTGTTGCTATCATTCCTTGCAATCGAAACCCCAATTTTACCACTGATCCTGCTCCTAACCCCACCCCAAACCAGTTCAGTCCTAAAGAAACCCTAGGTTTGGAGTTGGGGGTATGGTTCATTGGTAGAGAACCTGTGTGAGCCCCTGGGTTCCATCCCCAGAACTAAAAACATAAGACATAAACATAAAAAAATAATTTGAAAGTAATAAATCCTAGATACTAACTGTACCATTGAATTTGGAGTTGTCTTGGACTCACATAGGCTGACTCTGGTCCCCATCTCAATTCTACCCTCTACCCCAGCTCCAAACCTCACTTGCTCTGACCTACAAATTCACCTCAGTCCCTAACCCCAATTAAACCCTAGCCCACACCTGGCTGGCTCCCTGCTACCCCAAGATCATGCCAAGGTTCCTGGCTTCCTGCATGTTGCCATGGCCAGCTCAGTCACCCTTCCTGCTCTCCCTACAGAGTACGCCAACAAAGTGCTGCTCTGTCTCTTCACGGTGGAGATGCTTCTCAAACTGTATGGTCTGGGCCCCTCTGTCTATGTTGCCTCCTTTTTTAACCGCTTTGACTGCTTCGTGGTCTGTGGGGGCATCCTAGAAACCACTTTGGTGGAAGTGGGGGCCATGCAGCCCCTCGGGATCTCAGTGCTCCGATGTGTGCGCCTCCTCAGGATCTTCAAGGTCACCAGGTGTGTATACATGGGGCCCAAAATGCAGACCTAATTCCACACCCCAGCTCTGAAGATAATTCCATCAGCCTCATCATTCATTTAGCAAACATCCATTGAGCACCTACTGCTGTGTGCTGACCTTCTAGGCCCCAGGGAAACACCAGAAAGCAAAGCAAACACAAGTTCCTGTCCTCATGGAGAGGAGAGTCACCTAGGGATAGTGCCTCTTCAGTCTCCATACCATTTCCCGACATGACTTTACCCCCAAGCCCACCTCCATGCTCATCTCCAGTCCCAGCCACACTACCTTCTCTAAGCCCAACCCCAACTACATGTCATCCACAGGTCCACTATCTAACCCCAAGCCCAATCCAACCTCCTACCTCAGCGCTAACTCCCAGCCCTAGCCCCATCCCTGACCACCAACCACAACGCCTCTCTCAATTGTCTGATGCATGCCTACTCCTGGCCAGCAACCTTTCTCCAACTGCAACCCCAGTTATTGCTCTCCCCACCCTCGAGCTCCCCTTTATCCCCCCCATACCAACCTTCAACCATAACCTTCTCCCAACTCCTCCAACCCCAAATCACCACAACCCCATGCCCAATTCATCCCAGTCCCAACATGAAACCCAATTCTATCTGTAACTCCTCCCTACTTTCACCTCCCACCACACCCTGAATGCCAACTCTAACTCCAAGCTTAGGGGTCCCCTCCTTTCTTACTCTTACCACACTTTGATTCCAAAAATCACCTCCACCCTCAGCACCACAACCTATTTTAACCCCATGTGTCCCAGTGTATCCCAAGTTGGAGGCCTGCCTGGCTCAGGAGTCTACAGGGAACAGAACGTCAACCCTGCTCTTTCTACCTCTGCTGCAGGCACTGGGCATCTCTGAGCAATCTGGTCGCATCCCTGCTCAATTCCATGAAGTCCATCGCATCCTTGCTGCTTCTCCTCTTTCTCTTTATCATCATCTTCTCCCTGCTTGGCATGCAGCTGTTTGGGGGCAAGTTCAACTTCGACCAAACCCAAACCAAGAGAAGCACCTTTGACACCTTCCCCCAAGCCCTCCTCACTGTCTTTCAGGTATGGCCTGGAGACTCTGAGGGGCGTGTGTGGTGGGGTGTGGGGTGTGTGTGTGTGTGTGTGTGTGTGTGTATGTGTGGTGTGGGGGGGTATGTGTGTGTGTGTGTGTGTGTGTGTGTGTGTGTGTGTGTGTGTGTTAGTTAGTAGGACCTGGAGCTATAGGGGGTCCCAAGAACTTTTTGATGACTTCCTACCCTCAGATCCTGACAGGTGAGGATTGGAACGTGGTCATGTATGATGGTATCATGGCCTACGGTGGCCCCTTCTTCCCAGGGATGCTGGTGTGTGTTTATTTCATCATCCTCTTCATCTGCGGCAATTGTATCCTCCGAGCTTTGGGAGACAGGACAGAGCAGGGTGAGGGGTGGAGGGGAGTGCTGGGCAGTCCACAGGCAGGCGCATCTCCATCTTTGCAGCCTGAGCTCACTCCAGACATCCTGTTGAACGTGTTTCTTGCCATTGCTGTGGATAACCTAGCCAGCGGGGATGCAGGTACTGCCAAAGACAAAGGCAGGTGAGCTCCATCTCCAAGACATCCTTTCCCTACGATCGCTGACTTGGCTCTCACATGTGCACATCCTACAGGCCTTCTTTGTGCTGGCAGTTCCCAGCTCCAGATACAGGCCTCATTCATTCATCCCTTCAACATGAATTTATTGAGCACACACTCAATAATTTTGTGCTGGGCCCTGCTGCAAATGCTAGGGAGACCGCATGGGTTCAGGCAGACAGAGTCCTTGCTGTTTGTAATTGAAGAAGACAAACAAACTACAAGAAAATAGATATAAATTTTTAATTCCAGCTCTCAGGAGGCAGAGGCAGGTTTGTTTATCTGTGAGTTAGAGACCCTCCTGGTCTACATAGTGAGTTCCAGTCCAGTTATGGATTGTCTCAAAAAAAAAAAAAAGAACATGTTAATAATAAGTAGTTAAGGAACAAAAAACAGAACAAAGCCACAGTGAAAAATTAAACCAAACCTAGAAAGCCATACCTATATTCCCTGCATTTGGAAGGCTGACGCAGGAGGATAAGGAGCTCAAGGCCAACCTGGGCTCCACAGTAAGACTATAGCAGACAAGGTTCAATACATTTGCTCCTTTGAAGTTGTGGTGGTATCAGCACATTGACAACAGAACCCCATGGCTTGGGACCTAGCTGAGAGGAAGAAAATTGACCTGTTTAAAGTTCTGGTTTCTACCCCAGCGCCATAAACAAGCAAACAAAACCCACCAGTGAGGTAGGAATGCAGCAGAGGGAGTGGTAGAAAACATGGGTAGATGTTGGGAGGAATAAAAGAACCAGACTTTGATCCTGGGTCAAGATGAGATTCTGGCTTTTGTTCTTGGTGGAGAGAGGCAGGAGAGTGGTGGGATTTCGTGGGTTCCTTCTGTGTGCTGTGAGGATAGACTATAGGCATTGGGAACAGAAGCAGGAAGCCCCAAGAAAGGTCTGTCCTGACAGCAATGTCCACCCAGCTTTACCCATCTGTTCCCACCTACAGAGAGAAGAGCAGTGAAGGAAACCCCCCACCAGAGAACAGAGTGTTGGTGAGTTCGAAGCCTGGGTGTGCTGATGCACGCCTTTGATCCTAGCACTTGGAAAGCAGAAGCAGGGGAGTGTCTATGAGTTTTAAATTAGCCTGCTCTATGTAGTGAGATCCAGGCAGCTAGGGCTATATAGTAAGACCCTGTCTTTAAAAACAAAAAAAGGTGAGGGAGCCGGAGTTAGGAGTGCTTGCTGCTCTTCTAAAGGGACTGAGTTTGGTTCCCAGACCCATGTCAGGCAGATCACAACTACCTGTTATTCAGGTCCAAGAGTTCCAAGGCCTCTGGCCTCCAAGGTCACTTGCATTCACATGCACATATCCACACACAGATACACATAATTTAAAAAATAATAATAAAAATTAAAATCTTAAAGCTGGGTGGTGGTGGTGCATATCTTTGATCCCAGCACTCATGAGGCAAAGGCAGGTGGATCTCTGTGAGTTTGAGGCCAGCCTGGTCTACAAAGTGAGTTCTGGGACAGCCAGGGCTGTTATACAGAGAAACCCTGTTGCAAAAAAAAAAAAAAAAAGCCTAAATAAATAAATGAATAAATGTTAAAGGAAAGAAGCTTGGGAGTTGTCTATACCTCCTCCTACCACCCACACCTATCGGGGTGTACACGGTTTAACCCCATCCTCTGCCAATCCATTTCCACATTATCCTGTCTCTTCCATACCTCCTTTGTGTCCATTTCCTGGTGTCTCTCGCATAATCAATAACTCCAATTTTCCTGTCTCCAGGAGCCTGGTGGAGAGAACGAGGACGCAGAGGGTGCAAAGAGTGAAGGAGCAGGCAAGTAGGCAGGTCAGATGGAAGAGGCATGGAGTCTTGGGAAAGAACCCAGGCAGAGAACTCCTGACCCCTGACAAGGTCCTCTCTGGCCAGCAGACTCTTCCAAGATCATCCTGAAGGCAGTAGGCAGAGTGGCACATGCCTGTAGTCCCAAAACTTGGGAAGGGTGGCAAATTCAAGAACACCTTGTGCTAAACAGTGAGTTCCAGGTCAGCCTGGACTATATTAGAGACACTGGACACTATCTCAAAAATGAAATAAATACACAAATAAGAACTGGGGATATAGCTCAGTGGTAGAGTGCCTACATAGCATGTACCAGGCCCTAAGTACAATCTTAAGGACTGCAAAAACGATTATTCTGAGAGGAAAGAATAGGCTTGGTCCCTAGACAGCAATATTTGGGACACTAAGGTTAAACAAGACAAATGGACATTTTATTTTACTGTGGACCTTCTCAGAGCCTTTGTATCAAATATGTGTGTGTGTGTGTGTGTGTGTGTGTGTGTGTGTGTGTGTGTGTGTGTGTGTGTGTATAGCACTCACTAAACACACTCACCAGGCTCTCACTGTGTCCCAGGAATTGTTCTAAAAGCCAGGCATCTGTTAAACAAAACAGACTTAAGATCCCTTCCCTGAGGAGCGGAGATTCTGGGCAGGAAATGAGAAGAATTTGTCCTGTACCAAGCACAGTTCCAGGAGCTTTCCATTGACTTCTCAACCACTTTCGCTTTTTGCTCTTTTTCCAGCACCAGGCGTAGAGGAAGAGGAAGAAGAAGAGGAGGAGGAGGACGAGGAAGGCGGTGCAGGGCATGTGGAACTCTTGCAGGAAGTTGTACCCAAGGAGAAGGTGGTACCCATTCCTGAAGGCAGTGCCTTCTTCTGCCTCAGCCAAACCAATCCGTGAGTGCTAGAAGGGGCAGTGGGGCAGGGTAACAGGGCTGGCCAGCTGGAGAGCCCTAGACCTACCCAGGAGGCACCGGGGCACAGAGGTATCCCTGGAGGTCTCCCAATAAACACTGATCCTGGTTTCTGATCGCTGCCTTTTTCCCACTCCCCAGACTTCGGAAGGCCTGCCACACCCTCATTCATCATCATATCTTTACCAGCCTCATCCTGGTGTTCATCATCCTCAGCAGTGTGTCCCTGGCCGCTGAGGACCCCATCCGAGCCCACTCCTTCCGCAACCATGTGAGCCCATGCTGAGGGCTAGGACGAACTCACAGGGGCATTCTCCTGGGCACAAGCTCGAGCCACAGTAGACACCAGGAGAAGACCCCTCACTGGGCTGGGGAAGAGGACCAGTAATGGTGGAGACTGCAGCCATTTCCATACTCGAAGAAGTGCGGGCAGGGCATCAGGATTAGACGGGGGATGAGAGGAACCTGCGCTCAGAGAGGTTGAACGGGCCAAGGGCACTCATGCAGCTGGGTAGAGACAAAGGAGTCTAAATCTGAGCCCTCATCTCATATGGCCAAGCCTTTGGCATGTATAAAAAGGTCTTTCCTAATGCTGAGGGGGAAGGAGAGAGAGAGCGAGGCTTACACTGAGTGGTGCACACACAAGCTGCCGTGGCGGTACCTGCCTGGATTTCTAGCACTTAGGAGACTGAAGCCGAAGGATTACTGCAACTCAGAGGTCAGCCTGGGCTGCCGAGTGAGGCTTTGTCTCAGAGAGAGAGAGAGAGAGAGAGAGAGAGAAAGAGAGAGAGAGAGAGAGAGAGAGAGAGAGAGAGAGAGAGAGAATAGATAGATAGATAGATAGATAGATAGATAGATAGATAGATAGATAGTTAGTTATGTGGATAGATAGATGATATATAGATAATAGAAAGATAGATAGGTGATAGATAGATAAATGATAGATGATAGATAGATATGTAGATAGATTGATAGATAGATATGTAGATAGATAGATAGATAGATAGATAGATAGATGATAGACAAATAGATAGATGATAGATAATGTAGATAGGTAGATGATAGATAGATAGATAGATATGTAGATAGATAGGTAGATAGATAGATAGATATGTAGATAGATAAATGATAGATAGATGATAGATATGTAGATAGATGATAGAGAGATAGGTAGATGATAGATAGATAGATAGATAGATAGATAGATAGATAGATAGATAGATAGATGATAGGGAAGGAAGGAAAAAGAGAGGCACACACATACCTATCAATCTCCTTTAGTAATGACAGTGTTCCTCATCTTTCTCATTTCCTCAGATTCTGGGATACTTTGATTATGCCTTCACCTCCATTTTCACTGTGGAGATTCTACTAAAGGTGATAACTGAATCCCCAACCATACCCTCAGTTGCCCCCAATACATTCCCGGCCACCCCTACCACCTATCTCTCTGGTCTCTCTCCCATCCTACCCAGCAGCTAGCCTCATGTCTGAGGTCTAATCTAATGTCATCTGATCCCCAGATGACAGTGTTTGGGGCCTTCCTGCACCGGGGCTCTTTCTGCCGTAGCTGGTTCAATATGTTGGATCTGCTTGTGGTCAGTGTGTCCCTCATTTCCTTCGGCATCCAGTGAGTAACACCTGCCCCTGCCCACCCCACTCCTCCCAGAACCAGGAGCAAGCCCTAATTAAGGCCTGAAACTCCCCCCCCCCCAGCTCCAGTGCCATCTCAGTTGTGAAGATTCTCCGAGTCCTCCGAGTCCTCCGGCCCCTCAGAGCCATCAACAGGGCCAAGGGACTCAAGGTAAGCCTAGCTTACCCAAGCCCACAGAACCCAGGCCCTGGGTCAAGATCACAGATCCAACTGACTGTTGGCAGCCTGAATCGAATATGTGACCACAGATTCTTGACTGCTGGCCATGTGGTCTGACCCATGTTCCTTACAAGTGACTATACCAGTGGCCACAATTTTCTGACTCATGTCCTTGACATGTGACTACATGTCCTTACCTAGAAAACACTTATTCTTTGTTAATACCCATACATGCTAGCCCACAATACTGCCTTTGACCATGTGTTCCTGACTTGTAACCACATACCCCTGGCCCAAGTCCTTAAGCTATATCCATCACCCAAGTCCCCACTACATGCTATGGCCTGCGATGCCCATTAGTCATGTGTGTGTGTGTGCAGCACGTGGTGCAGTGTGTGTTCGTGGCCATCCGGACCATCGGAAACATCATGATCGTCACCACCCTCCTGCAGTTCATGTTCGCCTGCATTGGTGTGCAGCTCTTCAAGGTGGGGGAGACCCAGGGAGAGGCCCAGGTCAAGGTGGGGGTGAAAGGTGAACCTGTTTGACAGATGTCCTCCATACAGGGAAAATTCTACAGTTGCACTGATGAGGCCAAACATACCCTGAAAGAATGCAAGTGAGTGTTTGAGGCTCGCCCTCTGTGGAATCCAGAACCCCTTCCAAATCACATAGAGAAATACAGGCCTCTCTCTCTAAGGTCCCGGAAGCCACTTAGTCTTTTACCAAGGACTCTAGACATCTCCGGTTTCCTAAAAATCCCTAAGACCCTCAGAAGAACTCTCCCAATAATTGTAGGGGCCTTCATATCAGAGCAAGCACTCTAAGTCGCCCCATAACCTTTCTCCACATTCTTCAACATTACCTACATTCCACCCCAGAAGCCCCAGCAATTCCTGCCCCTCCTCAGAATTCCGCTTCCCTCTAGAGATGTTTGTAGAGGGAGGTGGTTTCAAGCAAAGCCAGGAATCCCTGGCTCAAACCCACTTCACAAGGCTTGGAGGCACTTAGTCACTTTGCTGAGTCCCAGTTAGCTCAACTGAAAATGGGGATAAAAAGAGTGCTTGTTCAGCCTGGTCTACAGAGTGAGTTCCAGAACAGCCAGGACTGTTATACAGAGAGACCCTGTCTCAAAAAAAAAAAAAAAAAAAAAAAAAGAGTGCCTGTTTCACAGGGCTTATGAGAGGTAGCGAGTCAGGGCATGGAATATGTAGACACAGTAAAGTACCTCCAGGGCAAGCCGGCACAGTACCTGGTAGAATCAGTGCTAAGAGACTTTGGCCACTTGGAGAACTACTTTCCCCTGGTGGCAAAAATGCTAATGGCCGTGCTGATGATGCTATCCCAACTGTGTTCCAGAAATTAGTCTTGGCTTTTTCTTAAGTTCTCGTATTTATTCATATGGGGAGTACGCCTGCCACTGCAGGTGTGGAGACCAGAGACCAGCTTGAGGGAGTTGCTTCTTTCCTCCCACCCTGTGGATTCTGAGGCGCAAACTCAGATCATCAGGTTGGCAGCAAGGACCTTTACCCACCAAGCCATTTTGCCGGCCCTTGTTTGGTTCCCTTTGTTGTTGTTTTGAGGGGGGTGGTTGTTGGTTTGAGCCTTGATCTCAATATGTCTCCAGCCAGCCTTCAGCTCTCAAGCCAGCCTTAAACTCACAAGTTGCCTGTCTTCTGTCACCTGAGTCGCTGGGATTATAAGCATGTGCCACTATGCCTGGCTTTATTTGTTTGTTTGTTTGTTTATTGTGAGACATGGTCTTAGTGTGTAGCCCTGGAAGACCTGGAAATCATGTAGGCCAGGCTGGCCTCAAACTTGCTAAAAATCTTCCTGCCTCTGCCTCACAAGTAATGGGATAATACCATATTAACTGTCATTTATTGACTTAATCCTGGTGAGAAATGGGAAATGGATTCTGTTAGAATCCTCATTTTTTGAGATAGATGGTGAAAACAAAAAGTCCATAGACAGAGACTGAATGTTTACAATAATCCAGGCAGGAAATCAAAGGGCAGGATGTGACCCCAAGCTGTCTAGGTACACCACTGTGCCCTGTCCATAATAAAGACCCTAGACTCTTCGTCACAGCTCCTCACTCCTCCTCCCTCACTAGCCTGTCTACGACATTCACAGGGGCTCCTTCCTCATCTACCCTGATGGAGATGTGTCACGGCCCTTGGTCCGAGAGCGGCTCTGGGTCAACAGTGATTTCAACTTTGACAACGTCCTTTCAGCCATGATGGCCCTGTTCACTGTCTCTACCTTTGAAGGCTGGCCTGCGTGAGGGGCAGGGCCTTGGGGATCGCAGGGGACTGGGCAGATGATTGCAGATAATTGCCTGGGATCAACTGGGAGTCAATGAGAGTGTAGCTTAAGGATGCACAGAAAGTCTCTTAAGCCTGGATAGGGTTTTCCTTCTTTCCTTTTTCCTCTTTTCAATGCTTGAGAGTAGAACCCGGGGTTTGTAGATGCTAGGCAAATGGTATAACATTAAGCTACATCCTTACCCCCCTATTTTCTTGAGTCAGGGTCTTACCATGCACCCACTTTGACCTCAAACTGGTGGTCCTCCTTCCTCATCCTCTTGAGTGCTGGGATTCAGGTTTGTGCCACCACTTCCAGTTGGGTGTAGCTTTCTAGAGACTGGTGAGTGTGTTGGAAGACTGGGTGGGAATTTCCCAGAACCTCACTGTGTATTCATTGGGACTTTGGAGAAAGGTCTCTAGAAATTGGGAAAAGGTCTCTGAGGGAATAGGTGAATCTAGAAAAAAACTGGGTGAGTGTTATAGGGGGATATAGAATGTGGAGGGATTCAAAGGGGGTTCACTGAGGAGATAAGATTCAGAAGTTTACAGAAAGCTACAAAAGCCTTTGGGTATACTAGCTAGAAATTTCTGGGGGGAACTGAGCAGATCATTCAAGGCTGTGGGATGTGGTTCCAGGATCTTAGAAGCTTGTGGAGGAGTTCTGGAGAACCACATGGGGAGGTGCTCCAGAGACCATTATAAGGGGATAAGGTGTCTGTAGATACATAGGGAATTTTGAAAGGTCTGGATAGGATTCTTTTGAGGGCTGCATGGGAATCTCTGAAACTTTGAGGTGTCTGGAATAAAAGATTTGGGATCCTGGCCTACATAGTTGAGTTCCAGGACAGTCAAGGATACATAGTGAGGCCCTGTCTCAAAAAAAAAATGAAAAACAAAAACAAAGACTTAGGACCCTTTAAAAGGCCTGTAGGAGGTTCTTTGTGGATGTGTAGAAGTCCCAAGTGATTGGGTTGTAAATTTAGGGAGGTTGGTATGCCAGGAGATTTGGGAGGTGAGTATGATAAGTAGCCTGGGAAGAAGTCTGAGGGGACTGGGGTTCCCCTGCACATGCCCTCATCTCTACCTCCCACCGTCTCCCACAGGCTGCTATACAAAGCTATAGATGCGCACGCAGAAGATGAGGGCCCTATCTACAATTACCACGTGGAGATCTCGGTATTCTTCATTGTCTACATCATCATCATTGCCTTCTTCATGATGAACATCTTCGTGGGCTTTGTTATCATCACCTTCCGTGCCCAGGGAGAGCAGGAATACCAAAACTGTGAGCTGGACAAGAACCAGGTGACCTCTCATTCCCGACCAATGACCACCAACCTGTCTCTCCTTGTCTTGTGAACCTCCTCCGCTCACTCATGCCCTATACCATTATGCAGCGCCAGTGTGTAGAATATGCCCTCAAAGCCCAGCCACTCCGCCGATACATCCCCAAGAATCCTCATCAGTACCGCGTGTGGGCCACTGTGAACTCTGCTGCCTTTGAGTACCTCATGTTTCTGCTCATCCTGCTCAACACGGTTGCCCTAGCCATGCAGGTCTGTCTGAGCCCCCACCCCCATCTTGATCGCGGTCAGACATTTGTTCTTTTCACACCGTCCCTTGAGAGCTATTAGGAGTACACTAGGCAGCAAGGAACAACCCCACTCCCCACCCCCACTTAACTGACAGAGCCTTAAGTTATCATGACATTTGTAACTTTTCTTCAAATCTAAGGCCAAAAATCGAACTCTGCTTTTAAAGATGCAGGAGTGTGAAAACAACAGTCCATGACTGTTGCAAACTGTCACAGATTATAAACTGCGCTCCAGACTCAGATTCTAAGAGGAAAGCGGTTGTGCATATTGGAGTCAGTGTAGTTTGTTTAGTTACCTCAAATGTTGAGGAACACTGATGTAGGTTGTCTTCTCGTTGTTGACTAGTGACCCAGGCTCTGTCCATCTTCCTGCCGCGCCATTCTGCTGTAACTTGGCTGTTGCTTCAGGGTCACAAAACAACTATTCCAGACATCAGTTCCATGCTCAAGGCAGGAAAAAAAGAGAGAGAGAGAGAAAGTTAAACCAAGCAGTAACTTGCATATTTTAATGAAATAAATTTTTTTCACAGAAGCTGCCAACCATGGCAGTCTGGGAATCAAGAACCGGGCTTTGCAGTGTCCATAATGAGAGACAATGCAAACAATGTTTCCATGTCCCCAGACTCCTCAGCTCGGGCCAGGGACTATGTGTTTGTGTGTAGGGTGTCTCTGCTTTAGCCTCTGTTCCCATCTGATCTCCCCACAGCACTATGAGCAGACTGCTCCCTTTAACTATGCCATGGACATCCTCAACATGGTCTTCACTGGCCTCTTCACCATTGAGATGGTGCTCAAAATCATCGCCTTCAAACCCAAGGTACACCCTAGACCCACTCCCTGTGAATAAACTCCCAGGGAAGGAAGCACATTCCACAGCCCTGGGAGGTGGGGGGGGTCGTAATCAAGTATTCGTAAGACTAAGGAATGAGAGGGACCCAGGTACAGACCATTTGAGGCCCAAGCCAGGCCCTGCCTCCTCAATACCGCCTATCCTTTACTGGTCCCCTACCCTGGTCTGCTGGCTAAGAGAACACAGTACACTGCTTTCCTCCTGTCTACAGCATTATTTTGCCGATGCCTGGAATACGTTCGATGCTCTTATTGTAGTGGGCAGCGTAGTGGACATTGCCGTCACAGAAGTCAATGTGAGAACTGGGCTTTGTGCTAACCCTTCTTTCTACCTTCTCCCTAGAGCCTTCCTTCACTTGGGTAGGCAGCTTCCACTCACATTCTCCCTGCTTCTAGAGACTGAGCACTCCTCATTCTAGATCTGCCTTTTTTGAATCCTTGCTAGGCTCTGGCAAAGTACTCCTCCCTCTAACCAGCCCCTTGTTCCATTTGCAGCCTACCCAGTGGTTCTGCTGCCTCCTAAAATGCCTCCCTTATTATTTCTGTTATCTCTTTCATTGTCTCTATGCCACTCCAATGTCTCTATCATCTCCATTGACTCCCGCTTTGGCTGCATCATCTGACTACTTCATTGGCTCCATTTTCTCCACCAACTCCATCATCTCCTATACTGGCTCTTCCCTGGCTCTGTAACCACAACTGATTGCATCATTGGCTCCATCATTTCATCCAATGGGTACTACATGATGATAACCCTGACTGACAATGCTGCCGATTGCATTTCCACATCACTGGCTTCTCCAATGATCACCCATTCGTTCTCATTTCCATGAAACTTTGGCTCCATTGTTTCCTTCAATGCCTTTGCTCCACCATCTCCTTTATCTGATCCTTTTACTACCACCCCATTAAAACTTTGTCTACAACCATCATGATCTACTACCGTATACCCTTCCCCACCATTCGCTGAGTATGCGCCATCATTTCCCCCTATCCATTTGGGCATATGATTACATCATCTCCTTTATCACCTCTGTTTTGGCCACATATCCCACCAGAATGGAGGCCATCTTGGCGAGGTAGCTTCTCACCCCTAACAGGAATAATTTTTTCAACCATCCCTTCCAGCCCAAGAGACCTTAGACATGCTCCTTGATAGCTGGGCAGTGGTGGTGCATGCCTTTAATCTCAGCACTTGGGAGGCAGAGGAAGGCAGATCTCTGAGTTCAAGGCCACTCTGGTCCAGGGCAGGGCTACACAGACAGAGAAACTGTCTCGAAAAACAAACAAACAAAAAAATGCTCTGTGACCACTCTTGGCCTGGGTTCTGAGAGATTTGGGGACTGGGAGGGCCAAGGCATGAGGAGAAGAAGTTGCTAGACCTGATACAAACTGCTTACCCCCACTGCATCCCTAACTCCAGAGTTCAGAGGACAGCTCCCGAATATCTATCACATTCTTTCGCCTCTTCCGAGTCATGAGGCTGGTCAAGCTTCTCAGTAAGGGTGAGGGGATCCGAACACTTCTCTGGACGTTCATCAAGTCTTTCCAGGTAATTCCCCACTCCGAACTACAGTTCCCAGTCTGCCATATCATTTCCAACTTTCTTTCTCTGAGCTCTCAATCCTTAACATGCCTCTAGTTCACTGACTTTACCCTATTCTATTTAATATTGTGTCTACATTTGGGAGGCACATGTAATCCAGGAAACTCTGAGGGTAGACTTCATCCCCAGCAGGCCCAGGCTGGGGGAGAGGAGTGCATTCTGGGATTTATAGTTCGATGACTACACCTGAAATGTCTGTCCCCTTCCCATTCTCCCAGGCCTTGCCCTATGTGGCTCTTCTCATAGCAATGATATTCTTCATCTATGCAGTCATTGGCATGCAGGTAAGTGGAGACCCTAAAGAACACCCCTCTGAAACCCTTCTGTCAGAGAGACTTGGTAGGAATAACCCCAATGTGAGGCTGGAGGATCAGAAAGACAGACAAACTGGATGACCCTGGGTAAGCCTGCATGTGTGAAATGAGCTCATTAGGAAGAGATTTCAAGATTAGGAAGATCCCTTAGGCCACAGGAAATGTGAAGTAAATGGGAACGCGTGGGTTCCCTCCTGGCACGCAGCCTTTGTATGTCTACAGATGTTTGGCAAGGTGGCTCTTCAGGATGGCACACAGATAAACCGAAACAACAATTTCCAGACCTTTCCACAGGCTGTGCTGCTTCTGTTCAGGTAATATACTCCCATTTCCCTGCTACCTTGCTCCCCAGAATACCTAGGGTACCCACACACCCTCTCTAGGCCCCAACATGCCTGAATTATGGAAATATCAGGGCAGCCTGAGTTCCACGTAAGCTGAGGCCATTTTTGACTGTGATCTGAGGAGTCTTCCAAAATATTGGAGTTTCAGCCATTCCTTTTCTGGCTGTAAGATGTGCCTCCTTTTAGTCCACAGTGCCCTCATCTGTAAGAGACATTCTATAACTACCATTATCATGGTCATGTTGTTAAAGTGTTGACATGGAAGCTGGTGAGACGATTCAGCAAGCAAAGGCATTTGCTGCCAAGCCTGGCGACCTGAGTTCGATTCCCAGAATCCACATGAGGAAGCAAAAGAAAAGACTACCATAGATTGTCTACACACACACACACACACACACACACACACACACACACACACTAAATGTAAAGTATAGCTCCAGTGAGAAGTAGGTCATCCCCTCACTCCCCTAGACCCCCACAACTGTACTTGACATAACTTTAGAGCCTCTCCAGAAGGCCACCCCTCTGTGACCCTCCCCAGGTGTGCCACTGGTGAGGCATGGCAAGAGATCATGCTTGCTAGCCTTCCCGGAAATCGATGTGACCCTGAGTCTGACTTTGGCCCAGGCGAGGAATTTACCTGTGGTAGCAATTTTGCCATTGCCTATTTTATCAGCTTCTTCATGCTCTGTGCCTTCCTGGTAAGGACACATTTCTCCACTACCACCATAATTGTCACGGGGGGGGGGGGGGGGGGCTGGCCCTGAGTGGTTCAGAGACGTCCAAATGAATTGGGCAGCCCAGATCTTGAGAGGGCTGCCCCAACAATAAGATCTACCAAGGAACTTGTGACCCAATGGTCATATAAGATCATCCCAGCTCCTACCCACCCCCCAAAACCCAGCTCTGTTCCTTTACTTAACTCTGCTTACTCATTGGCCCACAGATTATAAATCTCTTTGTGGCTGTGATCATGGATAACTTTGATTATCTAACCAGAGATTGGTCTATCCTGGGCCCCCACCACCTTGATGAATTCAAGAGGATCTGGTCTGAATATGACCCTGGAGCCAAGTATACCCTCTAACTTCTTATCCGGAATCCTGGGGATAATGTGCTGTCCTCCATGGCCCCTAGTTCTAGCACTTCAGACCCACACATTCCATTACCCAATGATAAAGATGTTTCTACTGCCTTAGCCTCTGTCTTCTCCATCTGTGCACTTCCCTGGAAAGCCTTGAGGTGTTGGTTTGGGAGGTGATGATTCACTTGGGGCAGGACTTAAGAAAAGCCTAAAGGAGTACTGTTGATCCAGTGGCATCTCCCCAACTGCCCCAGGGGCCGCATCAAGCACCTGGACGTTGTTGCCCTGCTGAGACGCATCCAGCCCCCACTGGGATTTGGAAAGTTGTGCCCACACCGAGTGGCCTGCAAGGTCTGTGCACTAGCCCATCTACTTACCTGCTGACCTCCAAGAAGTCTCTATATTTTATGGGAAGGGGAAGTGACTTCCTTTGGTAGGGATGGGTGTATGACTGCATCCACAAAGGTTTCTACCCTGGGAATTCGGAGTATATCTAGCATTTTCCCAAAATGAGTTCTATGTCTCTGCTGTTACAGAGACTTGTGGCAATGAATGTGCCCCTCAACTCAGATGGAACGGTGACATTCAACGCTACACTCTTTGCCCTGGTTCGGACATCCCTGAAGATCAAGACAGAAGGTGTGGGGACGAGGAGGAGCAGGAGGGAAAGGGTCCCTGGGGAGGGCTCAGGGGGCAAATGCAAAGAATGACAGATATGCATCTCCAAACTCTGGACCTCAAAACGGGTGGCTTTGACTTCTCCAGGCCTGCTTCCACACCCTATCTGAGAGCAGTGATGTGAAGCTTCAAATCAAAGCCCCACCCCACCCCCCAGCAATGAGGAGCAACTTCTCCTGTTTCCCCTACCCCACACTCTCCTGCATTGCAGGGAACCTGGATCAAGCCAACCAGGAGCTTCGGATGGTCATCAAGAAGATCTGGAAGCGGATAAAGCAGAAACTGTTGGATGAGGTCATCCCCCCTCCAGATGGTGAGCTGCGCACCCCCAGTTCCTTAATTGTCTGCTCAGATCATTGCTGGTAGGTGGGAGCTAGGGAGGCAGTAGCAGTATAGAGGACCTCTGCATAACTTTGCCCTCTTTTCTTGTCCCAGAGGAAGAAGTCACCGTGGGCAAATTCTATGCCACATTTCTGATCCAAGATTATTTCCGAAAATTCCGGAGAAGGAAAGAAAAAGGGCTACTAGGAGCAGAGGCCCCAACAAGCACATCCTCTGTCCTTCAGGTCTTAAGGACAGGGCCTGGTGTGGCCATGTGTGTAGAGGCTGACCTCCCTCTTGATCTCCTGAAACCCAAGTCACAGAGGAAGAAACTGAGACCTAGGCCTCACAGAGGGTCAAGGGAGCCTCAGAGCCCTGGCACACACACTTCCACATGGGAAGCAAGCTCATAGAGGGGCACTCTGGACCATGAGCTACCAATTTCCTTATTTTTCCATCCATCCCCACAGGTTGGTCTAAAAAGCCTACAGGACTTGGGTCCTGAGATCCGACAGGCCCTCACCTATGACACTGAGGAAGAAGAAGAGGAAGAGGCAGTGGGTCAGGAGGGTGAGGAGGAGGAAGCTGAGAACAACCCAGAAACATACAAAGTGAGGACAAGTTTCTACTCCCCTCCAAACTCTTGACTGTAAAATGCTCCCTCAGACCCCTAAGTCAATTCAATGCTGTCTCTGGGGAGAAGCCTCCTCTACAATGGAAAACTGTTCAATACCTATCACCGGCTGTTGGAAAACAAGACCCAGATTCAGCCCCCAGGGAGTGATGGTCCCCATGGACCAGTGAGGGAAGCACTGATGAAGTAACCTAGCCATTGCGTTAACAAAACACTCAGCCAAGTAATTTCTCCTCAGGACTCCATAGACTCCCAGCCCCAATCTCAATGGAACTCCAAAATTGCAGTGTCTCTACCTGTGAGGGAGAAACTCCCAAATTCTCTCTCACCCGGGCCTAGTGATGATGATGATGGACTGGCTCCCAACCCCAAGCAGCCCAGTGCACTCCAGGCTGGATCCCAAGCCCACAGGTATGGTCAAGCATCTGGGGAAGGTTGTGAGAATGAAGAAAGATAGCCACTGTATTGGATGAGCTGGAAGAAGGGCTAGAGGCCTTCAAGAAGAAATTTGGGAAGGATAGATGTGTTTCAAGGGCTCAAGTGAGAGTCAGATGTGGTGGGCCACAGCACCTGGGAGGTGGAGGCATGGGGATACAGAGTTCAAGGCCATCCTTGGCTATATAGTGAGTGTGAGACCCTGTTTTTAAAAAAGACAAATATAAATCAAGGGCTCAAATGGGAATAGAGGATAACAAGAGAAAAATGGAAAAGAGAATAACAAGAAAATATGAGCAATGCAGTGCAAAAGATTAATGCAAATCAAGTGTGGTGGCACATGCCTTTAATCCCAGCACTTAGTAGGCAGAGGAGACAGCTCTCTGTGAGTTCAAGGCCAGCTTGGTCTACATAGCGAGTTCCAGGCCAGCCAGGATTACATAGTAAGACCCTGTCTAAAACTAATTGTAAATCCTGGTGTTTGTATAAAGAATGGAACATGCATGGGATGAGAGGAGCAGGGAGCCTTGGATCACATATTGGGGGTTTGGGACATGGTCTAACTAATATGCATCACCCCCCCCCCCCTCTCCAGGAGAGGCTCTGGAGTTTTCATGTTCACTATCCCAGAAGAAGGAAGTACTCAGCTCAAGGGAATTCAAGAGCAGGACAATCAGAATGAGGAACAGGAAGTCCCTGACTGGTACACTGGCCACACCACAGGGGCCAGGGAGGGGAGGGCAGGAGTGTTGATAACCCCAACTCTGAATCTCAGACCTGAGCTCACTGCTAGCTCTGCCTTCTCCACAGGACTCCCCACCTGGATGAGCAGGCAGGGACTCCCTCCAACCCAGGCCTTTTGCCACCCCACTGGCCCCAGAGACAGGTAAATGGGCACCATGGACCACGCCGACGTTTGCTGCCTCCGACACCTGCAGGTAAGCAGACGAATGGGCCCGATGGAACCCTAAGGGCTAGCGGAACAGAACACGGGAGGGATTGCCACTGTCCTTTGCCCGCCAGGTCGGAAGTCCTCCTTCACCATCCAGTGTCTGCAACGCCAGGGCAGTTGTGAAGATTTACCCATCCCAGGTACCTACCATCGTGGACGGACCTCAGGACCAGGCAGGGCTCAGGTGAGGAAAAGGGACCCTGTGGCCTTCAGAGATGTAGCATCTGAGGCCAAACTTTACAAGCATACTACATCTCAAGGCCTTCCAAAGAATGGGGCACTCAAAGGACTGCGCATAATCCCCACTGTACTTACGAAATGGGTTTGCTGTCCCCGGTTTACAAGTGAGGGAACTGAGGCTCAGAGAACTTTATCCTCCTGTGATCACACAGTTAGTAAGCAGCACAACTGACATTTTAAAAATACTTAGTATTTATTTGTTTATTCATTAACTCTTGTATGTGTATGTGTGTCTTTTTGTGTCTATGTGCGTGTGCATGTGCGTGTGCGTGTGTGTGTGTATACACTCACCCATAGGAGTGTGCAGAGTCCAGAAGAAGGTGTCAGTGTCCTCCTCTATCTGTCTCCACCTATTAATTTAAAGTAGTTTCTTTCCCTGAACCTAGGACTCACATTTTCTTGACTAGGCTGGAAGCTAGCAATCTCCGGTGATCCTCCTGTCTCTGCTCCCCTTGGAGTTAGGGTTAGCCCCGACACACACACACACACACACACACACACACACACACACACACACACACACACGGTTTCTCCGTGTAGTTTTGGTGCCTTTCCTGGAACTCATTTTGTAGACCAGGCTGGTCTCGAACTCACAGAGATCCACCTGCCTCTGCCTCCCGAGTGCTGGGATTAAAGGCATGCGCCACCACTGCCCAGCATCACAACTGACATTTAAATCCAGGTTTTTGAGTCAGATATGATGGATGGCACATACCTGTAACCCTGTCACTTGGGAGGTAGGCAAAGGAAAATCAGGAGTTCGAAGTTATTCTCAGCTACATATAGAGTTGAGGCTAGCCTGGGCCACATGAGACTCTGTTTCAAAAGAACCAAAACAAGCAGATGAGGTGGTTCATGCCTATAATCCCAGCTCCTATGAGGCTGGTACAGGAGGATGACTGCAAATTTGAGGCCAACCTGGGCTACATAGTAAATTACAGGCCTTGATAATAGAGTAAAGCCCTGTCTCAAATAAGTGAATGAATGAGTGAATGAATGAATGAATGACACGTAATGCACACAAACAAAGGCTTTCTGTACTCTGACATAAACTCAAGTCTGGAGCTAGAGATTAGTCAGTGGTGAAGCATTTGCCTAGCATGTTTATGACTCTGGGTTTGATCCCCACAAATAAAGAAGTCATTTATTTCTCCCCTGATTTACATCCATTCAGTGTGACTCCGGTTATGTATATTAGAGAAGAGGGACAGAACTCACAAGAGTGAATCATAGCCCCTCATACTCATCAATCTTTGCCCCCTCTGGTGTTTATTCTGACCCAGGGTTCCTGGGCAGCCCCTCCTCAGAAGGGTCGACTGCTATATGCCCCCCTGTTGCTGGTGGAAGAAGCCACAGTGGGTGAAGGATACCTCAACAAACTCAGCGGGCCACTGCGTACCTTCGCCTGTCTGCAAGTGCCTGGAGCTCATTCAAATCCCAGTCACCGCAAGAGGGGCAGTGCCGACAGTTTGGTGGAGGCTGTGAGTCCTGATGGGTGGCGGTGGGGGGGAAGGGCTGGAGTAGAAGGGGCGGAGGTGGGAGCAGGGAAGGGGCACCAAGGAGTGGCCAGACTCTCTGTTGAGCTTGTATACTGTACTTGACCCTGTCCCCCTGCATTCTGCCATTAGCACATCATTTATTCGCAGTGACTCCTCTGCACATCGTGCCTTTGATCAACATTATTATTTCCACTCGAACCCCCTCCCCAGGTGCTCATCTCTGAAGGCCTAGGTCTCTTTGCCCAAGACCCACGATTTGTGGCCCTGGCCAAGCAGGAGATTGCAGATGCATGTCACCTGACACTGGATGAGATGGACAGTGCTGCCAGTGACCTGCTAGCCCAGAGAACCACCTCCCTTTATAGTGATGAGGAGTCTATTCTCTCCCGCTTTGATGAAGAAGATCTGAGAGATGAGATGGCCTGCGTCCATGCCCTTTAATTTCTTACCCCTCATCCACTGCTCAATAAACCCCCTGCCCTTCCTTCGCCCAGAAGGAGGCAAGCATTGACCACACACTGCTGGATTTTAGTGTCTTTGCACTGGCAGTCTGGGGCAGCCCAGCAGTTTCCATCCATCCCTTATTGCATCCCTGAGCCACTGCCCACACACGAGTATTTCCAGAAACCAGGACAGCTAGGCCTGATTATTCAGCGTCAGGGAAGGAGGGAGGAGGAGGAGGAGAAAGAGACAGCAGCCAAAAAAAGCTGGAGACAGAGTGGAGGTGGGGGAGAAGGAGGGCACTGGGCAGATGGGGGAAGGGAGCAGAGGAGATACTGGGTGTCCGGATAACAGAGACGTCACAAGGGGTCAGTCAGGTCAGCCCAAAGAAGGACGGACTGTAGAAGAGTTTGGACAGGGCAAAGGCCTAGAGGTTAGAGTTGGTAGCTTAAGCAGAAATGTCCTCTCACAGCATCAAGAAGAAAAGTCTAAATCCATTGGTAGAAATTTTAGGTGACAGCAAACAGTGGTGCTTCCGGCTCCAGGGAACCCATTCTGAGCCCCCTTGATCTCTCAGAAACACCTGAGAGTGACTCTCTTCCCACACAGATGCCTGAGCTCCTCTTTCTGCTTCTCGCTCTGCCTTGGGGATCTCATTCATTCAGGGAAAGCTTATCAGGCATTTGGCGTGGGCCAGGTACCTTGCTGGTTTCCCTCGGGGCAAACTAAGGTGGCTTAGACATATGACATGTTTATCTAAAGTGGGAGTCAGCTCCACTGCAAAGGAATTGACCACCGTTTAATCATCCTTCCTCACTCTTGAAGCAAGGGGTTCTTAGCGGTATCTTTTGTGTCAACCAAGCCAGGGAATTTGGGGGGAGCCACAATCGAAACCGGGACTCTGAGCACACAATTAATTACACTGGGCCTTGAAACAAAGGTTTGAAGAAGTTGGGCTGGTGTATGATGAAAGAGCAAGTTAGGGGAAAGCATAGAGAGTGGAGACAGACTACTGAGAACTAGGGTCGGAGGCCAGGTCATGCAGTCTTGAATGCCAGGTCCTGAGATGTCTGCATTTTCTATCTGAAAGTATGGGGAAGCACAGGAAAGACTTGAGTAAGGTAGTGACAGAGTTAACTATGCATTTTAAACAGATGCTCTGGTGGTATGCTGAAAACAGACTGGAGGGGAAGAGAATGGAGATGCTAAAATGGTCAGAACTGGTGGTTACCTTAGCCAGGGAAGGAAACAGGGGAGATGGTGGCAAGTCAGTGGATTCCAGAATAGTAAAGAAAGTAAAATGATCCCTGCCATGATCCCTGTACTAAGTACATTAGAGTTGATTGTCTTTTTTAATCAGTATGACAACCCTACATATAACATTTTAAAACATTTTGCATGTCTAAGGTCAAACAGGAGTAAATATTAGAAATGAGATTCAAGCAACTGAGTGCCAAAATCCAAACAACTAGGAAGTATCTATTACATACTTGTGTTTTTTTTAAATAAATATAGGGGCCAGGCACGGTGGTGCATGCCTTAAATCCCAGCACTTGGGAGGCAGAGGCATGCAGATCTCTGTAAGTTCAAGGCCAGCCTGGTCTACACAGTGAGTTCCAGTCAGGGCTATACAGAGAGACCTTGTCTCAAAAAAGTAAAATAAAATAAAGTAAATATGGGGGCTAGGGAGATAGCTCAGCAGTTAAAAATGATTACCACCAAGACCCGAAGACCTGAGTTGGATCCCCAGGACCCAAGGTAGAAAGAATTGACTCCCACAAGCTGTCTTCTGACCTCCCCCTGTGCATCCACGCATACACACAGTAAATAATTAAATGTAAAAAAAAAAAATAGGTATAAAAGCCAGAGCTAGCCTAGTTGTGGTGGCGCATGCCTTTAATCCCAGCACTTGGGAGGCACAGGCAGGAGGATCTCTGAGTTCAAGGCCATCCTGGTCTACAGATCAACAGCCAGGACTGTTACACAGAGAAACCTTGTCTGGAAAAAAAACAAAACAAACAAACAAAAAAGCCAGAGATAGCATGATGGTACTTGCCTATAATTCCAGCATCTGGGAAGTAGAGGAAAGAGGATAAGGAATTTAAGGTTACCCTCAGCTACACATGAAATTCAAGGCCAACCTGGGCTAAATGAAATTCTAATAAATAAATAAATAAATAAATAAATAAATGGCATCCATTCAACTGTTTCGAAATTCAAGCATACCGAGGGTTATAAAATGATGTTCTTTTCCCGCTGCTGACAGTGTTATCCATTATCTTTTATTATCTGTGTAAGATGATGCACTCATAGGTTAGCACTCAGAATCTTAGTGCTTTTTATATGCATTTCTTAATGTGGGGTTGACCATCTTAACCTCAACTATATTTTATCCCTTGGATTTTGTAACATGGCAATCATCACTGACCTTGACGGGTCTCGGTTTAGTATCATGAAAGAGGGCAGTCCATTAAGAGATGGAGGACCCACACAGTGAAAAGAGAGAGCCTGCTCTGGCAAGCTGTCCTTTGATCTCCACACCTGTATTATAGTGTCCCCCCTTCCTTCCCTCCCTACATCCCTCTCTCCATACTAAATAAATGTAGTTTTTAAAAAAAGAGGGTTAACACACAATAAATAAATGTATTAAAAGAGAAGGCCAAGAAAAAAACAGAAGGTGAAGTACAGAGTTAAAGTAGGCAATAATTTGACCAAGAAGAAGAGAGAAATTGAGGTGGTTAGAGTTTGGGGATGTGCTTAAAAATGCAGATTTCCCAAAAGCAATCCTCTAGACCTTGAACTGTCTTTTAAACTATGGAGACGTTTAAACTGCAAAGACTCTGAACACTGCCGATTACTGTGTGACCTTGTGCAAGTCACTTAATCTCTCTGGAGACTCATTTTCCTCATCTGTAAAAACAGGACTAACAGTCACTACTATATAGGGATTAAATGAGTGAAGACACGTAACAAACACAGCGCTCGGCCTGGCCAAATACCGTAGAACTGAGCGGTCCTCCTATCCCTAGGCCGCTACCTGTGTTTTCTGAAAGATTTACCGACTCCAGCCTCCAGGATGGAATGGCCGCAGGCAAGCTGGGGGAGGGGAGTGCCGTAGTGCGCAGGCGCTTGCGCGAAAGCGAGACAGGGTGTGAGGGGCGGGGCTGCCGCCGACTGGGCTGTTCCGACGAGCGCGCGCCGCCCCCGCCGCGCCCCGCGCCCGCCCTTGCTCGCAGGCACCTTCCGCCCCCTGCATTGCTGATGCTGCTGCTGGCAGACATGGACGTGGTGAATCAGGTACGCGCTCCAGCACCGTGGACAGAGCCCGGCGCTTGCTGGAACCCCGATAGCTTTGGCCCTCCGACCCGGAGAGGTGGTGGCCAGGGTAGCCGAGATATGGTCACCGGGGCTGGGGCCTGGAGGGGTCTGCGGCAGGCTAGGGGAGGGAGGAAGGTGGAGAAAAGGAGTGCGCTCTTTGCCGCATCGAGGACTGTCCTCACTGCCGCAGAGGGGGCCTCCAGAGCCCCATAGGAATTGTTGGCGGGGAGAGAGAGGGGAGCTCGGGTGTAGGAAGAGGGCAAAGGGGTAAGGGAGGGGAGAGTGAAAAGAAGACTTGGGGGGGGCTGCAGATGAGCTAGGAAATAGAGCGACAGAAGGTGTGGGGGCGGGGTGGGGGAGGGCTGGCACCCACCCCTCCCAGAGATTTCACCCCGGTAGATGACCACCTTTTCCCCGCTTCCCGGAGCAGATCTAGGGAGACGATCCGATTTTCCCTCTCCAAAGCCCCCAGCCTCCTCATTCCCAGCTCATATCCAGTGAATCCATGCCCCAGCTCTCTCCCACCTTAATCATTCCAGACCATCTCCGCCATCTCCCTCTTCTTCATCACCTCAGAGTCGGCTTCCTCCCTAAGCAGTAGCGACCCCTCCCCACCCGCATCTCCTCAGACACAACCACCATCATCTGATTCACCTTTACCGCTGCAGACCTCTCCCTATGCTGTTGTGACTCACCTTCATCATTCAGTGCCCCCTCCCCCACTTAACGAACCCCATCTTCTTCCACTCAACCTTTTTCCCTATCTGAGTCACCTTTAAGCAGTTCAGACCTTCCTTTCCTAACTAGTCTGGACCCCATCTATTTTCTACACCCAACCTCCTCTGCCATGTGACTCATCACCTCACACTTCACCACTCCTGAACCCTGGGGGTTTTCTCTGAGACCCTGGTGTTTACTCCTTCCCCAAAGCATCGTTTTCTGCTCCTCACTCCCTCTCTATATGTCACCCACTCTCAGGGGTCACATGCCATATCCCCAGGGATCATTGCCTGGCAGCCTGGCCCCTCGCTTCCGTCTCTATTTCCCATAACCCTTCCCCTTGCCCACTTTTTTCTCCTCAGCTGGTGGCTGGGGGTCAGTTCCGGGTGGTCAAGGAGCCCCTTGGCTTCGTGAAGGTGCTGCAGTGGGTGAGTGTGGTCTGGGTTGTGGGGTGAGGGAAGTGCAAGCAGACAGGGTGATAATGGGGTCCAGAAGATCAGGGGTGTAGGAGAGTCAGGGAGCCAGAAAAGAACTTGAGTGAAGGAGATGAGGGAATTGGGCTCCAGAGTAAGGTCTCAGGGGTTTAGGGACAGGGGACAGATAGGCTATGACGTCACATAAAGCCGAGGGTACCCCTGTTGTGGAGTGACAGATTGTGACGTCCTACCTCCTCTCTTGAACTAAAGGAGGGAGGGATGGGAGGTGGAGCCTGAGGCCGCCTGCTGAGAGAGAGAAAGATGCAAAACCAGAAAAATCCAGAGACAGTGAAGGAGACAGAGAATGAGAGTCAGGGATGGTAGAGACAGTGATGGAAATGGAGAGCCAGGGAACTGGGCGTGAAGCAGGAAAACGTGGTAGGGGAGGGGGAGAGAGAGAGAGAGAGAGAGAGAGAGAGAGAGAGAGAGAGAGAGAGAGAGAGAGAGAGAGAGAGAGAGACCCGAAAGAGAAAACAGAAAGCAGCACACAGAAATAGGCACAAGAAAGACAGAACCATAGAGACCTTGTGAGAGGCAGAGCAGAACAGAGAAGCAGACCAAGAAGCAAGTGTGCAGAGAGAGATGTACCCTCTCACAGAGTAAAGAAGAGATAATGGGGGGACAGCATGTATAGAAACACGGAGAGAGAGAGACAGAGACAGAGATGCAAAAGACAGAGATACAATGAGTGACAGAAGAGGAGAAAACGGAGAGGAGAGAAAGAAGGGGGAGCTGAGAGAGGGGGAGGGAGGGAAGGGGAGGAGAAGCCAGAGCACCTAGAGGTAAAAACAGAGACACAGGGAGAGAGAAACAGCCACACCCCTGTAATCAGCTTTTACTAGGACCCGGTGAGCCCTGATTAGGGGGGTGGGGGTGGGGACCTCTCCATCTGCTGCTGTCTCTGCTGCCCCCCTCAATCTGTCCAGAGGAGGGCACTCCCTCCCGCGTGCATCCAGGCTCACTGCAGCCATCCACTTCCCTGCTACCCAAGGTCTTTGCCATCTTCGCCTTTGCCACATGTGGCAGCTACAACGGAGAGCTTCGGCTGAGCGTGGAGTGTGCCAACAAGACGGAGAGTGCCCTCAACATCGAAGTTAAATTTGAGTACCCCTTCAGGTGTGCTCCTGCCCTGGTATCCTGAGACCTGGGAGAGGCAGGGTGAGGGTGGGTCTGGGCGATCCTTCCCCGTGACCTTTACACAGCTCACACCTTTGAGGCCACAGCCACCGGGGTCACTGCCCATGCACTGAACACCTGCTGTGTAACTGGCACTGATTTAGATCTCTATGGCGACGCGGTGCGCAAGACAGACACAGGGTGTCACCCTCTCTAGCTATATTCTGGCCAAAGGAAGGAATGGAAGACAGGAAATAAATAAGATTCATAAGCAAATAACGGAGATGGGGCTGTAGTGCAGTGGTAGACAGCAGGCCCTGGGCTACAGAGAGAGAGACAGAGGCAGAGACAGAGAGACAGAGAGAGCTACATGGGTGCACACACACACATGTACACGTTAATGCAGTCAATGTTCAGTTAATGTTAGTTGCTGGGTATGGTGGCAAATGCTTGTAATCCCAGCACTCGGGAAGCTATGCATGAAAGATTGTGGTAAGTTCCAGGCCACCCTCAGATACAAAGTGAGATCTTGTCTCAAAATAAGGGGTGTGCAATGGCTCAGCGCATCAAGGCACTTCCACTAAGCCTGACAACTTCAGTTTGATTGATCCCTAAGTCACACGAGGTAGAAAGAAAGACCAGACTCGCTGCAAATTGTTCTCTGACCTCCACACATGAGCTGTGACACGCATCTGCCTACATACACAAAGGTGTGCATACACTAAAGACAATTTTAAAAAGACGTATTTGAAAATAATGTTAGTTAACGTTCTTTACGTCTCAAAGTGCTGGGGTTTAACAGTGACTAAAGCAGAGCAAGTTCCTGGTCCTCGTGGCTCTCCATTAAAATAAACAAAAGATAACTGCACATGCAGAGAAATATTAGAAGCATATCCTCATGCAGGGGTTTCCTAGACAAGAATGGGGATGCTAATGGGTCATGGGACCAAATCAGAAGTTCCTGATATTTACCGAGTCCCGAACATGTAACAGGCACTGTACTGGGTGCTAGGTGTAGATGAGAAAGGACAAGCTGAAAGAACTGCTGCATCTTAAGGATGGGGAGACAGACTCCCAGTTTCACTTGACTTTCCTTAACTACTGAACTAAATCATATAACAGTTTGAGTCTCAACGTCCTCATTTGTAAACAGAGATAATATTGGTGCTCCACAAGGCGATGGGGCATCTTTCTCTAAGTCGATACTTGTAAAGCACTCGGTGCAGTGTCGGGGACCAAGACGTGCTCAGCATATACTTATAAAGTATAAGAAATTAGATTTAGGAACCTGGGGAAGAGTTGGAAGCTGGGAGTTGGAGAGCACTAAGGGTAAATAGAGGCCCAAGAGATCACACAGTTGGGAGAGGGAAGACAGCTCAGCCCTGAGCAGTGATAGAAACAGAAGATGGTAGGGGAGCATGGCCTGAGAGAGAGCAGCCTGGGGTATCCAGGTTCGCATAAGCCAGGGAGAAAAGAGTTCGGGGGACTGAGGGTGTAGCTCAGTGGCAAAGCACTTTGTCTAGCATGCCCTGGTCCCCACCCCCCAGTACCTTGGAGGAGGAGACACACAGAGAGAGACACACGCATGGTGTTGGGGGTGAAGGGTAGTTAGCAGCATAGGAGCCAGCCTTTTGGGAATTTTCTAAAGGCCACAGAAGCCTTCCATGACCCCCCTCCAGCCCCAACACCTTCCATGCTCGGGACCCCTGCTATACAAGGACACCAGATCTATTTCTTCAGTCTCAGGATCTGATCTCCAAGCTGAGACCAGAGCTGCGGGCCCCTAGTGCAGTTCTATTCTGCCCACACATGAGGCTGTCCCCCATCACAGCACAGGGAAGGCCTTTGTCTCAGAGCACCTTCCCAGACTGCCCTTCACACATCCTGTCCCAAGATCCCCTGGACCCTTCTGTCTTTGCCTATTTCATAGCTGGTCGGCTGCTCTGCCACACATCCTTTTTTTTTTTTTTTTTACTCTCAGGGACCTAAAAAGAATTTCTAAAAAGAAAAAAGAGTCAACATGATCTAGGAGGAGACAGGAGTCATACAGGGGCTCTGTCCTTCCTCTACTAGCTGCATGACTTTATACAAGCAAATTCACCCCTCTAAGCCTGTTCCCATCTCTGTGTGTTTCACCCTAAAAACACTGCTTGAGGACCTAATAGGTGCCAGCACTGTTCCGGACCCTTGGGATCTGTCAGTAAATGAAAAAGAGGAGTATGCCTGCTCCCTCATAGTTACAGGGGGAAAATCGAGGGGAAAAAGCAAGGCCTAGGCCTGGGGACATAGCTCCATCAGGAAAGAGATTGCCTTTCAGGCTTGAGGACTTGAACTTGAGTCCCAGAGCCCACATTAAACAAAGCCCAGCACGGTGGTTCATGCTGGAATCCCTGGCACTCCATGGCCAGCCAGCTTAGGGTAATTGGCAAGTTCCAAG